TATACGAGAAGGATCTTAAGAGGCAGATAGAGATGATGGTTAATGTAGCCTCTCCACATTTCAAAGAAATACAAATATAGGCAGGGGAGTGGAGATGAAGGCATTCACCATACTGAGACTAGAACATTGATCTGGACTTCAGGAAACCTGAAAAAAGATTCCCATAATATATTGAGCAAGCCTATCTGGACAACAGCCTACTACCATGCAATGGACTTCACCTGTCAAGGTCAGGGAAGAATGTGTTTGGTGGAAATCTGGGGAGATTCATCAAGAGGGCTTTAAACTGACACCACAAGGGGAAGGAGATGACCAACATAGGGATTTAAATGAAGGAGAGCAAATAGCAAAGGCCCACCTGAGGGGGCCAGGTTTAATGGAGCCAAAGGTGTAGGGGCTTCAAGTGTCTACGTACCAATGCCCAAAGCTTGGGCAATGAGGAAGAGCTTGAGATTCTAATGCAGGTAGAGGGATATGATTTAGTAGACATTTTGAAGACTAGGCGAGGCTACCTTCTGCCCCCCACCCACCCACGTGCCCACCAATTTTCAAACATAAATGCATTTTAGGAAATAATGATGATGATGATGACAAACAGCCTCGCCTAGTGTGCAAAAAACCTGGCCTGGAGTGGAGCCGGAGCAGAGGCGCCCCAGTCTCTGGAGGAGGGGAACCGGGGCAGCCCCTATCCCTCAGACTCCTCTTGTCTCCAACGCACAATAGGCCCGCTTTTGAACGACTGGGGCCTCGGCTTTCCCGGGAGCCCGGGGGGGGGGGAGGGGGGGGGGGGGGTTGTGTGCGCGCGACCCCTTCTCTTTTGGCCTCCTCCTGCGTCCCCACATGAAGTTCCCTCCCAAGAGGGGGCCTGCTAGCCCCGCCCACAAACCGGGCAGATTGACAGCCGTCTGGTAGCCCCAGTGGAGCTCCAATTCGATCGACCTTTGGGAGGTGGGAGGACAGCAGGCGCAAAGACTTCCCTCTGCCCTGAAAAAACCCTGAAGCCAGCCCCAGCCCAGGGGAGGAGGCTTCCCCACCGGATCCCACCGCTTTCCCACAAAGGGAAGCTCCCCTTTGGCTTCCCGATGTTCCCCCGTGGTGCTTTTGCGAGCACCGGGACAGAGGTAGCAAGGTGAGCCCCTCAGTAGTCAGCGGACGAGCGGGGCAGCGGTGGCCCAGGGGGACAGAAGCGCCCACAGGAGAGGAGGGAGGGCGCGTTGCCGCTTGCATCTGGGTGCGCCGGGCACTTTGGCACATCACGCACGTCACCAAGCCTCCTGCTGCCCGCTTGCTTCTCGCCTCTCCTCAGCCAGCCTACTTGTAAGAGCCGAAGAGCATGTGGAGAGAGGAGGAGGAGGAGGGCTGTGGAGGATGGTGGGGAGGGGGGAGAGGCATGCTGAGCAGGAGGAAGAAGGCAGGAAGTGAGGATTGAGCTGGTGGGAAGGGGTGGGGGGAGGGGGCGGCCGGCAGGGCACTTCAGGATGAAGATGGCTGGGGGAGGAGGAGAAAGAGGTGGCAGCTGGGGTCAGGGGGTGACGCAGTATGCAGGGCTTTTGGCGGGGGGCGCAGTTTGGCACCCTCATGATCAGCCTGCTCTAGGCGAAAGTCTAGTTCGCCTAGTGAGTGGGCCGGCCCTAATTACAAAGACTTGGTGGGATGCTTCCCAGGACTGGAATGTAGTAGTGGAAGGATTTGAGTTGTTCAAGAAAAACAAAAGGGTCAAAGAGGATGTGGAGTGGCACTGTATATGAGGAGTAGGTTTGTTTGTCAAGAAATACTGAAGGGCGAGGATGACAGCCCAGTGGAAAGTATCTGGGTTAGGATAAGGGAAGGAAGGACAAACAGTATTGTGGTTGGAGTCTGCTACAGACCTCCTGACCAGGATGAAGAGCTGGATGCTGCCCTCCTTGAACAGCTTGACAGGGTATCCAAACAACATGACCTGATAGTCATGGGTGACTTCAACTTCCCTGATTTGTGCTGGGAGACAAACTCTGCAAAGCATCCAGAGTCATACACGTTCCCAACCAGTCTGGCTTGTAGGTATGCCAACTCCCTGTCCATCAGGAGGGGTTGTTTCAACCATCAATGGCCCCCACAGGGGTGCCCTAGGAGTCCATACACCAGGCAACTTGACATAAGTGGACAAAAAGATGGAAGCCAGGACTGGCAGGCCGTAATATTATGCCTACGATATGACCCTGGAAAAAACACGAGATATTGCCTTGACAGCTGTGACTACCCCCCTCCCATGTCGACATCTGCATACTCCAGACAATGGACCTGCCTCGCCTCAGAGTAACTTCTTTCAATCTCAAATGCTAATCCCATTGATCTCATCCTTCCTTCCTGCATTTCCTTGACAATGACAAATCCTGCCTTTTACCCATTTCCCACACCTGAAGACCAGGTGGCTCACCAAGCAGTATTGGTTCCTTTTTGAGTAGTTTAAATTAGCAATCCATTAGTCTTCCAACCCCAGAGTACTAATCAGGAACCCAACCCAAAATCTACTTTACATGTAGAAGAAACCTCTGGCCTCTTCTGTCCAGTCTTGGGAACTCTATACAGAGTGTCCAAACTACATGGTTCTAGCCCTGATTAATCCCAACATACCCCTAAAGTAATTGCATCAGTTATTTATTCTAAGGGACTCCACACATTAGCAAGCCCTCTGGACACGTTGGGTATAACTAGCGCAGCACAGCCCCAGTCTCAGTGTGCCTGCCCAGGCGCTCTATTGGCAGGTCACCCCCAAATTCATTTGGGCCATTTTACATCTTTCCAGTCTCTGCTCTATGGATTCCTGATCTCCTGGATAGGTAAAGTATATTTCCCCAGCACCTTCCTGTTATTTCAACTCACCTCGGCACTGTTGGATGAAAATGGAGAAACTTGGATAGAGGAGAGAAAGCAGGAAGGCTTAAAGACAACTTGGTGATCTGGGGAAGTCAGCATGGATTTGCCCCCAAGTTGCCAGACCAACTTCATTTCCTTCTTTGATCAAGTGACGAGCTTACTAGATTGAGGGAATACTGTAGATGTTGTTTACCTAGATTTCAGCAAAGCTTTTGACAGCGTTCCCCATGTTCTGATGGGTAAACTAGAGGGCTATGGACTGGACTCTAGGATAGTTAGGTGGATAGGGAACTGGTTGGAGAACTGCACTCAGAGAGAAGTTGTCAGTGGCATTTCATCTGAATGGAGGGAGGTGTCCAATGGGGTGCCACAGGGCTCGGTTCTGGGTTCAGTACTTTTCAATTTTTTTTAATATAAATGATCTGGATGAGGGTGTGGAGGGGCTACTCATTAAAATTGCACATGACATCAAATTGGGAGGAGCAGTGAACACACCAGAAGATAGAGCTAGAATTCAATGAGATCTGGACTCGCTGGAAAAGTGGGCAGATGTGAACAAGATGCAATTTAACAAGGATAAGTGCAGTGTTCTACATCTGGGTAATAAAAATGAGGAATAAGCACTGTATGGGGGATACACTTTTGAGTAGCAGTGTGTGTGAACAAGATCTTGGGGTACAGGTGGACCATAAGTTAAATATGAGCAGCCAGTGTGATGTGGTGACAAAAAAGGCTAATGCGGTCTTGGGGTGAATCAACACAGGCATAACATCAAAACTGCAAGATGTTGTAGTCCCACTGTACACTGCATTGGTCAGGCCACACCTGGAGTATTGTGTGCAGTTCTGGAGGCCTCACTTCAAAAAGGATGTGGATGGAATGGAGTGGGTGCTGGGGAGAGTGACGAGGATGATTGGGGGCCTGGAGACCAAGCCCTATGAGGAAAGGCCGAGGGATTTGGGAATGTTTAGTCTGGAGGAGGGGGGACATGGTTGCTCTCTTTAAAGCATTTGAAGGGGTTTCACTTAGAAGCAGGCAGGGAGCTGTTCCTGATGGCAGCAGAGGATTGGACTAGCAAAAACAGGTTACTTACCTGTAACTGATGATCTTCAAGTAGTCATCTGTGCAGTCACACTCATGGGGTTATGCGCTTGAGCTGATCCGAATTGGTGGTATGCAAAGCTCACAAAGGGATTTTCGCGCCTCTCCTCCAGGCATGCGCGGGAACCCCACTGCGCATGCCCAAGGAGGAGGGGCACGGACATCCCACCAGTTCCTTCTGACTGCCGCACTGTTAACAGCTTGTTTCTGCCAGTCAGTAAAAATGCTCTTTTACTTTTGGGGGGATTTAAATATCCCCCACATATTTTTTCCAAGTTTTCAGATTTTTCTGCACATCTGGGTATTGCCCCAAATGTGCAGGGAAATCTCCCTGCCCCTCAAGTGCCACCGATGTGCGGATTTAGATATCCGCACGGAGGGGGCATGCTGGGAATTAGATATACAGATTAGCCTTCTTTGCCCAGCACAGGGAATCCAAAGTTAGATCCTGTGTACTGTCCAGCATAGGATGTGGCTCTAATCTAGCATTTTTCATATATACTGTATTTTACATTAACACTTCTGCCCCTCTCACAAATAATGATCAACATTATTATCATTGACAAAATTAGTCAATGGTTATACTATGCTGTGAATCAGAATCACTTACTCGAGCCCACTGGCTCTCAGATTTCATTTAATGCCTTCATATTGGACTGGTTCTTCACTGAGAAGTGGACACATAACTCTACCCTAATAGTTTATTGAGATTAAATATACTTTCCAGAAGGTGAAGTTCTGTATGCTGGGGTGGGGAGAGACAATAGTACCTAAATTGCCTTTTGAATTTCTTTATGCTCCTTGTACTTGGCAAAATGTGAAGTCAAATCCAAACATACATAGATACAGCTGTTATCATACATCCTTGAACTTTGAAGAACATGGACCACAATACAGTTTTAATGGTTAGTTTATTGCAATGTGAACCAGTTGCTATGAACTCTTGACAAGTGGAACTTTTCAACATAAAATAACTTGGTGTTACAATGTCACAGCTCAGTACAGTACAATAAAATCTGTTTATACAAAATACTCTATTGGCTTTAAAACATATTCTAAAGTATGAAAATACCCTGACCTGTTCCTTTTATACAATTTTAGAGCAGAATGCAATTACAAAATAAAAAAGTAACTAACTTCAACAGCCAAGACAACAGAATAGTGGACTTCACAGTGCAATGGGTAATACTGTCAAGGGATTTACAGAAACTTCTTTTACAAAGGGAAGATCACTTGTCAGAATCTATATATTTGGAGGATGGAAAAAATAGAATCTCATTTGTTCATCTTAATTCAAACTAACTATGTTTGGACCATTTACCAGCACTACTATTTGCATAGCATTCTAAACATATGGGGGCTCTGCAAAATTAAAAACATTCTCTCTTCAGTATGAGCTTTAACAAAGCGAGTGTTTCATGGGGATGTTGGTTCTCTATATGAAAAGTATGCAGAATACACACTGGAGGCAGATGAGAAGGTACAATTTATGATTGAATTTCTATCCTTTAACGAATGGAAATTATGGCGGGGGAAGACTAGACCCTCATGTTATGATTACTATTTAACAATGGGTCTGCATAAACCTTCCTGTGGACACTGAAGAGTTTAAGATGGTCTGATTTATCAAATCTAACGGATAACTACTGCAGTTCACTTCAACACTCAGAGCCTGTCACTGCATTTCTGTCAATCATTCTTCTAAAACTTATTTGCTTACATGAATTCAGTAACACGAACACTTTACTGGAATAAGATGTTAGATGGATAATTTGCATCTTCTCCTCACAAGATGAGCCCACATGCCATTCACAAGACAGTCCCGAGAAGCCTATGGGGGTCCTCCAGCATGCCAGTGCTGAAATTGAGGACCATCATGGATCAGCCGTGGCTCTGCTAATAGCAGAAAAGATTTCAAATACTGGTGTTAGGGATTTTTGCATCACAGCAAACCTGCCTTTGGCAAGAAAATGGCCCCATGCAAGGAAATAGCCTGTACTTCTGGTGTATGCTACACTTAAAACACACAGAAGAAGTCACCCAACATTACTACAGAGAGGGTATGGACATTCAGTGTTACAGGAAATTATACAAGAGCAGTGTTCTCCAACTGATCAGAGCAAGCAAACTGGCAACAACAACAACATTAGAACCACCTGTTAGTGTTTCAGCTGTCATTGTCTGGAAAGAAACAGTAGTTCACAGGAAAATAAGTTATAAGAGACCAAAATATAATTTGGTTCATCAGGCCAGACCCCCCCCCCCCAGGCTACTCAAAACACACAAAAGTGGATTTTAGTTTCTCTGCATCCTAAAGCAGAAGACAAACACAGCCCAGCAATGTGCTACTTGTTTTAACACTGAGACTAGAACTTGACATTTACAGAGGATACATGGCTGTCATCACAACAGGACCATGACTCTTCTACCTCCTTCCATCGGACAACATCTAGCAACACAAAACATGCAAAATGGGCAAAGAAACTAGAAGCACAGTTTTACCACATCAAATGTTTTGTGTTACAGGAAGTTACCAGATGAAATAAGGGAGTCCATTTAGTCTGCAAAGGGGAAAATATGAACTGATCCTCAACAAACTATTTTGGCCACTGATTAGAAAGAGACAAGATGTTATTGATGCAGAATCCTATCCAGAATGAAGTCAGGGATACTGATGTCTTTGCAGTATCTGTTCTGGTCAGTTAACTAGCATTCCAGAGCACAGAGCAGAATACTAGAATTTTGCCTAGAATTTAGCAATAAATATCAGAACTGAAAACATGTGTCTTTGAAAGCAGCAAACTTGAAGAGCAGTAGAACAGCAGTAAGAATACAAGTGGCAGTGATGCAGATAACAAGCCTGAACCTAAACACATTTACTTGGTTGTAAGTCCCTACAATTTCAACGGGACTTTCTTTCTAACAGGCCTGTCTAGGGTGGCTGATTTAGGCACTGAATCATTCTAAGAGATTGTTAAAAAGGTATATATTTTGACTGTCATGACAACAATTAAGGCACACCCTTCAGAATCGGCTTGCTCATTGCACTGATACCCATTTTGTTTTCTGTTATTCTTGTCAAGACAAATTTTCCAGGCCAATGACCACCAGAAGCATAATGATGTTTAAAAAGTAGGTTTGACTCCATAGTAAGTTAAGTGACAACAGTATGAAACTGTATGAAACTGTCTCCTTGCATATTTTGTTGTTGTACTCAGTTCCAATATTTCAGATTTAACCAGGAAGATTTAAAAAGCCTGCACTAATTAGAAAAGTTTTCAAAGATGCTAACAACACAACAGCCAGCTTGAGCTTGTCATCCAGAAACATCAGAAATGAAAACCTGTTTCATCAAGATCCACCAATCTCTCTCCCCCATACCTGATTGTACAAAGATTCTGGCAGCAATGTGTTCTGGGAAACTCTGAAATGGGGTTCATTTAACACATAACCTTGAGACCCCACTATAAAAGAAGCCAGATGTCCTTCATGGAGGTGGCCTAAGCAGACTCCAGACCTTCAAGGAGAACACTGTAGGCTGGAGTTAAGGCTTTGCCAAAGTAGCCTAAACGTGGAAGCTCTAAGGCACATATTAGTACATTCACATTACTGTTAAAAAAGCCAGAGTATAAAAATTCCCCTCCCTTCCCACCCACCCCCAATAAAAAGATGGCACTGCCCATTGAGCTCTGTTACTCCTGTCAAATGCTGATTACACACACAATCTGTAGCTTTGTTAAAAAAAATATATCACCTGATTTTTACCCTTCTCACCACTACCCACAACCAGTAGTGCTCCCCCATCCAAACACAACACATGTTGATAATATTTTATCCTGTCCTCCTGGACTTAAAATACCAGTCTCTCACATGTGGCTCTCCTCCTCTTTTATACCATCATCTGTGGTTTTCTGAGGCAGGTTAGCCACATCATTGCTCGGCTCTTTTTGTTTTTCAGCCTCATCAATATTGGTTTCTTCTTCTTTCCCTTCAGCCTTTTGCTTCGCCTCAGTCTTCTCCTTTTTAGCCAACAGCCGATAATTGATGCCCATCCCAATAAACAGGAAGATCCCAGAGACGATCAGGATGATGCCACATGCCCAGTAGGTATATTTGTAGTCACCATACACGTCGTTCAGTTTACCTAATAGGCAAAAAATTAATAATAATTAAATATATATGTTTAAAGTCATATATATATATATGACTGCAGAAATCATTCAGAGCAAGGTATAGGTTACAGTGCCTCAGCCTTACTACTAAACACCTTCTTATGTTATTTCTAACTGGTGCAAAAGCACCCTTTGGTTTATACAAGCTGTATGACAATGCACACCCAACCTACTGGATCAGAGTCAATTTTATCATGGATGAATTCTGGGGTAGAAGAGAGACATAAGATATGCACCACTAGATGACACAATCACTCCACTGGCACCTCGATGGTAGTGGAATCAGTATAATTACAAGACTGTTCTATGTATATCTGATTGTAGAGACAGAAAATACTTTCTTGCCCTCCTTGTGTCTTGACAGCTGATCCCCCCAAAAGCACATGCAATCCCACACAGTCATTACCAAAAAAGAAATACTCTACCTAGGAGAGGTGGCCCCAAAAGCACAGGGCCACATTCCACAATAGTCACCAAACCGACGGCACTGGAGAACCGCTGAGCCCCAACTAGGTCCATCAGTGTCTCAAACAAGACGGCGCTCAGCCAGCCAAAGGCAAATCCGAAGAAGCCAGCATAGATGCAAAAGCCAGCATAGCTTGTGGATATAGGAGCCAAAAGGTGGCACAAACCATTATAGATCACAGACGCAGCAAAAAAATACTGCACTCTGGGCCTCACCCATTTGGTGTTTGCTACCAAGCCCATGGATGGCCTGGCAACCATATCTACAAAGGCCAGAATGGACAGCAAGAAGGCAGAAGACTCGTTAGAGAAATGCTTACTCTTCCCATAATTACTGAGGAAGACTAATGGTGTAAACAATCCAAAAAACATGAGCACATTGCCCGACAGATAGAGCAAGAAGCCACGATGTGTGAAGAGAGACAAATCCAAAAACTTGTTGATAGTCTGGAAGAATGTGGCTTTCTGTTTTTTTGTCTTCCCAGCGATAAGGTCTGTGCTGACATCTGCTCCTTCTTTTCTCACAGGTTTACCAGCCTCCTGCAACACTTCGTTATCAATTTCTGCCTTCTTCTGGTCTGGTTTGGGTCCTATTGGTCTCATCAGAGATCCAGCAACACAGCAATTTAGCAAGAGACCCCCAAGAATTAAAAAGCTCCCTCTCCACCCAAAAATGCTGTAAAAATATTGGTTCAAGGGAGCCAGTGTAGATAAAAATACAGGGCTGCCTGCCATTGCCAGTCCATTAGCCAGTGGACGCTTCTTGTAGAAGTACTTGCCAATCATAGTCAAGGCTGGGTTTAAATTAAATGCAAGTCCAAGACCTAGGGAGCCAAAATAAAGACACGGTTAAAAGGACAACTGCAGTTCTTCAGACTGACAGCTTTTAAGTACACATTTGTGAAAACAATCAGCTGAGCAAGAAGTAGGCTGGCCTCTTACTGGGACTGCACTGTTAGGAAGGCAGGCTACAAATGTTTGACCAAACCGCTGCACACTTGACACCTCTATGAAACTGGTGCAAAAGTGTCAAGGTACAGGAGTTCAAGAGTTCTATACACTAAAATGGTGAGTACGACTTTTTATTGGAGGTAGGAGTTAAATAAGAATTTGGGGTACATCCATGGTTCTTACCTGGCAGGAACTCTTCTCACTTTCTGGGAGGAGTATCTGCAAGGTGCTATAGTTGTGGATCCCAATCCAGTAACAGAAGAGGTGACAGGATGTGGAGAAGGCCTTATGCTGTTTCTTACATGTAGGAACACCACCCATAAGGAAGCAAAGACTTCAGCAACTCTAAAATGACCTCCATTTACCGAAGAGAAGGGCATTACTTCGTGGTAATAATGTATGCCTTGAAAATTTTATGGTACTTGACTTTTTTGTAACTTGTTTTATGATACAATAAAAAAATTTAAAAAAAGAAAAAAAGAAAAGAAAATTTGTTCCTGCTTCCCTGATTGGACGGTGGGAATCACCCACCAAGATGTCCTGTGCCTCAGAGGGAGAACACCCATCTCTTCAGCAATGGCGGCAAACTCTGAGACACAAAGCCCTCTGGAGCAGCTTTTTTTCTCCCGGGTGGGGAGAGCACTTGCAAGAAGAAGCAGCAAAAGTTTCTCCTGAGACACTTCATCTTTCATCTTGAAAGATACCTTGGGGTGGGGTGGGGGACTGCAGAGAAGGGAGAAGATTGTGGAATCTTTCCAGCCAAGATGCAATGACATGATAGCCATTACTGCCCAGGAGCCTGGCTAAGGAAGATCTGACCTCCCCAGGCTCAAGAAACTCACTATTGGCCTCCTCCCTCTGAATAACCTAAAATGATTTTCCTCAGTACACACAGAAATTGACCTCAGTCTGAAATGGAATGTAATAATAATAATAATAATAATAATAATATTTTCACTTCAAAATGCTATAATGAGTGTTCTTGCATTATGATTGCTATTAAGGTAACCAAGAAGAGATATGTATCCAGTACCAGCATCACTTACCTCCCACAACCCCGACACAGAAGTAAAGCTCTTCCACAGTATTACAGAAAGAAGCAGCAATCAAACCGCACCCTGACAGACAGCCCCCTGCAATCATGACTGGACGACTACCATATTTGTTCACCAGGATGCTGCTGATGGGACCTGAGAGAAATGAACATGTGGACAATAGTTACTCAGATACAAAACACCTTTACCTTTTATTCATTTGGAGTCATATGCCAAGTGAACATCTGAACCATTGGACAGAAGACCTAAAGATTATGGATTAACAGTTTCTCAGAGGGCCAATTTTTTGGTTAGATATACTATGCCATGATAAAAAGTAGAGACATCACCCTGCCAACAAAAGTCCGCATGGTCAAAAGCAATGGTATTCCCAGTAGTCACGTATGGCTACGAGAGTTGGACTATAAGGAAGGCCGAACGCCGAAGAATACATTCTTTTGAACTATGGTGCTGGAGAAGACTCTTGAGAGTCCCTTGGACTGCAAGAAGATCAAATCAGTCAATCCTAAAAGAAATCAACCCTGACTGTTCCCTGGAAGGCCAGATAATGAAACTGAAGCTCAAATACTTTGGCCACCAAATGAGAAGGGAGCACTCACTGGAGAAGACCCTGATGCTGGGAAAGATTGAAGGTCAAAGAAGACGAGGACAGCAAAGGATGAGATGGTTAGACAGTGTCATAGATGCAACGAACATGAGGTTGAGCAAACTTCAGAGGACGGTGGAAGACCGGAAGACCTGGCATGATCTGGTCCATGGGGTCGCAAAGAGTCGGACTCGACTGTGCGACTGAACAACAACAACAACTTTGCCAGATTTTAAGAGTACTCGAAAATGGTTACACTTTACACATGGAGACAATGGCTCTTAAATTCCAACCTTACATAGGAGTTAACATTCATAGTTTTCTAATGCCATAGCAGCATTAGCACAAATCCATGGTGGGGGTGGGAGTCACTTGCACACTAGAGAACAATCACTGTAAAATTTACTTATTGCACTCTGGGGGTTTATACCAACAATGCACAACCACCCGATTAAGGAGCAAAGACCTGTAGTTTCCTGGCAAGTGTACTTTTAGCAGCACATAGAGATTTGCCACCGTGTCACAGTTGGAATTCCTATACCTCCATGGTTTTTAAGCAAAGCTGGTTTCCTACTACTTTTTGGCACTAAATTGTTTCACCTACAATTGCATCTATGGCAGTCTCAACTGTCCTGAAGCAGTAGGTATCCACAGAAAGAGCATTAATGCTACTTCTGATACAGAACCTATTCAAACCATCTATACACTGTAAATGTCAACAGCACCCCCAGAGTGCAAGAAACAGATTTTACAGTGATTGCCCTTCAGTATGCAACTGAATCACGTGCCCACCATGAATCTGAGCTAATGCTGCTATGGCATTAGAAAGCTATGAATGTTAAATCCTATGTATGGTTGGAAGTTAAGAGCCATGAATAAAGTTCCTGGAAACAAAAGGTATAGAACAACAAAGTGCTTATATATTACAACAAGTATTTCTTTAACCACTGTTCTTTTGCGTTAAGGAATTACAGAGCTCTGCCATCTCTAACGGAAATTAAAATTTAGATTTTTAAGACCTATTCTGGAACTATAATTCAACTGTAGCTTTCAGATAGCATTAATAGTGTACCTGTACCTACATGCACCATGATCCAGATTTTATTATAGTTACACTTGACTCCATCCAACAAGCCCAAAGACTATCTCAAAACTGTAGATTCATAATCAAAACTCTTGGTTAAGATATCAAAGAGCTGGATCCTACCAGTCTGGTCTACAAATGCCAGATGGAGGATGCTCTTCAATTGGCAGTGTGCTTCTTGGGTCAGAGGGCTGCACTGTCACTAGCAGAACAAGCTGGTAGGATCCAGCCCCTTCTACCAAGCCTACAACAACTTGTACACAACTTGATGATATTCTTCAGCATCAGTTCCAACTCAAGAAATCTTGAAAACGTAAGTTCTACTTCCTTCCCAATTTTCTCCCAATTCCCCTTCAAAGGTTAGTGGAATGGTAAATGCAATAGTAAATGAAATAATCTGGTAAATGAAATAGTCTGACAGCAGTAGACGTGTAAAATTTCTATAAATTCGGAAATCAAGGAAAAGATCTTTTTTCAGGAAAAGAAAATGACATTTTAGGGAAAACTGAAATATATACAGTGCTTGCTTTCTCATCAAACCTAAACCTACTCTGCTGCTTTAACATAAAATGCAATATTTATAACTTAGTATGTATTTGTATTAATGGGCATATTTATGGAATTTAGAGATATAAATGCTTTGGTTTCCTAAAGCCAAAATTACAATAACAACCAATACTTAAGTGAGAGAGTTGCAGACTGCTGTGCCCTATGTTGTCTTAGCACATTTCACTCATTCCAAAAGGATGGAGAGTTGCTCTGATGAGCATGGGAACTAAACAGGGTCAGCCATAGTCCCTACGTGGATGAGAGACCATCAAAGAAGACAGGGGTTGCTATGCAGAGGAAGGCAATGGCAAACTACCTCTGCTCACCCCTTGCTTGGAACACCCTGTGGGTGAGGTCACCATAAGTCCACTGCAATTCAACTGCACATTCTTTTTCATAGAAGAGTTTTTTGTTGCTGTTCTCCACAAAATTTCTCAATTTTTCCACTGGAAAAAATTAAAAGCCTCCGGGAAAAACATTTTTTCTGAAGTTTTCCAGGCCTTCTCATCTCTAGACAGCCATTATAGAAGATTAACAAGCATAAGCCAAATTAATATAAAACAGAATTGGCAAAGACACATTATTTTAGTATTACTTGCATGTCCAGTTCACAGCCAGTCAGTAGCTGTAATCACAGCTAAAATCCTCTCCAGCCAAACTGTTTCCATGTACAAATTGCTTTCTTTTAATTACCACCCAAAGGTTTGAGTCTGATTAATCTACATAGCAGTATTTAAAATACTTCATTACAGAAAAACCTTAAATCCAAAGTAAACAATGATTAAAGGCAGGCTCAGTATTCTATAGACACTAAAACCTGCTTAAATAAAACTGAATGGGCATGCCCTGAATAACTACAGATCTAATTTCGTCATTAACAGATAGCAAGATTTTCAAAACATACATGGCAATTCAGCCTCTGGGTGACCCTTTGAGTTGGATAATTAAACAGAAGCAGATAAAGAGAGGGCCAATGCTGCATATAGCACCCCAGATAGAAAACAAGGCATTCTGAAATCCTTGGATAATTGTCCCAATTAGGTCACATAACATGTCTCACCTGGGACCTTTGGCCTGCTTTCAAAGAGTTGTATAAATTCACGTGAAGACTCCTTTGGGTGCTTGACAACCTTGAAAAGCATCTATTCTCAAACCAAGCCTACAAAAACGTCACTGGAAAATAATTGTTTTACAGATAGTTTTCCAATTAAGTGGCCCCTTCTTAAACTCATAATTGAAACCTAGGTCTCTAGAATTCCATATTTAAATCTAGCTTGGCCCATTTTGTTCCTGTACAAAATTTCCAACAGAGCCATTAAAAATTGACAGACACAACAACAAAACGCTTCTCTTTCTGGTCAAAGCAATTACTGGCTGTGATGCACCTACATACCTCCCGCCACATGCAAAAGGTAGATAGATAGACAGACAGACAGACAGACAGACAGACAGAATAAAATTAAATATTAAATACGTGAACAGCTCTACATACTACATCAGAGGTGTCAAACTCATTTGTTACAAGGGCCAGATCTGACATAAACGTCACTTTGACCTGGGCCATGTGTGCCATAAAATGTAATGCCAAGTACTGGAGATACAAACGGTATAAAGGACAACAGCTGGTAAGCTCCGAGTTGGTCTATCCTTACTGCAAGGCCTCATGGGGTGGGAAGGGGGTGCAAAGGATAACCCGTATGGGTGGACTGGGGAGCCAGCGGTGCAGCACTGGGCAGATGCTCCCACAATGCTTGACTGCTGCAGATGAGATTGTTCTAGTGGCTCCAGTCACTCTCCCCAGCACTCCCTCCCTTGCATCAGTTGCTCGTGAGCCACATGAGAGCCCTGGATGGGCTGGTTCTGGCACCCTTGTATTGACACCCTTGTATTACACCATCACAGAAATTGAGAATTAGCATAATTCAAGCCCAGCAGAGTCAAATCTAATTGCTGCAAGGAATAGCTTTCGTAAACTTTTGCAGAACATGAACCATGACAGTTTATAGTTTATATACAGTTTAGATACAGAAAGCTCTTCAGCAGCAATTTATGTCAAACTGCAAAAGCATCTTGAAAAGAGCCCTCTCGATTTCTGTGCAGATTTACAGGTTGTTTTAAGAACAGAATTTCTAGTTAACTGGAGCACAAATGAAAAAGACAATACCTGGCTTAAGTAACTAGGGGTGTGCATTCGGATCTACCCGAGCTGAAAATACACCCCAAAAATACCTTATTTGGGATTTTTTGGGAATACTTCAGCATCCCAAATATATCCAGGTTTTCTCAGAAAAACTGGGAAAAACCACAATATGTTTGGGAATTACCAGTAGATCTGAGAACAGCAAGAGGCAGCAGATTACTCCTGCCTCTCAGCTGTTTGTCTGGCTTCTGCAGTCCCTTTAAACTTTAAAAGCTCCCACCAGCTCAGCTTGATAAATCAGCCCAGGATCAGCCTTGGTTGGGGCTGGTGCCGCCTCTGTTGGAGCTGGCTCCTCTTGCAGCTCAGTTTAAACCAAACTGCAAGAGAAGTCAGCTGCGGATCAGGCTGGGTGGCAGGAGCTGAGAGCTCCCCTCTGCCTTGGCTTGGCATTGGCTTCTCTTGAAACCCAGTTTAAACCAGGTTGCAAGAGAAGTCAGCTGAGAATCAGCTGTGCCTGGCACAGCTTCTGATGTGCAGGGTTTTTTCGTCTTTTTTTTTTCTCTCTTCTCAGGTCTATTGGGACATGAAAAAAATCAGGATTTCCAAAAAGTTCTAGATCTGAATACCACGCTTGTATCAGGATCTGGGATTTTCCCTTTCTTAAAAATCTGTATGTTAATTTACAAAACATTCCTATAGATAGGACGGGGGGGGGGGGGGGACGGGACAGAAAAACAAATTCAGACCCCTACAAGTAACCATTGAAAAATGAACAA